ACCCATTGAGCCCAACGATCTAGCCAGCTTTCTATCCACCTTATAGTCCATTCATCCAATCCATAGTTTTTTAACTTGCTAGCAAGAAAGCTGTGGGAAACCGTATCAAAAGCTTTGCTAAAGTCAAGATGTATCACTGCCACTGCTTTCCCCATATCTACAGAGCCAGAACTAACAGAAGTTTCCAGATCATAGGCCCTGATTCTCATGGGGGACGTCAATCACTCTGATGTCTGCTGGGAGAGCAATACAGCAGTGCACAGACAATCCTGGAAGTTTTTGGAGAGTGTTGGGGACAACTTCCTGGTGCAAGTGCTGGAGGAACCAGCTACGGGTCAGGCTTCTCTTGACCCGCTGCTCACAAACAGGGAAGAATTGGTAGGGGAAGTAGAAGTGGATGGGAACCTGGCCAGCAATGATCATGAGATGGTCGAGTTCAGGATCCTGACAAAAGGAGGAGAGCAGCAGAATACGGACCCTGGACTTCAGAAAAGCAGACTTTGACTCCCTCAGGGAACTGCTGGGCAGGATCTCCTGAGACACCAATACGAGGGGGAAAGGAGTCCAGGAGAGCTGGCTGTATTTTAAAGAAGCCTTATCGAGGGTGCAGGAACAAACCATCCCAATGTGCAGAAAGAATAGCAAATATGGCAGGCGACCAGCTTGGCTTAACAGAGAAATCTTTGGGGAGCTTAAACACAAAAAGGAAGCTTACAAGAAGTGGAAACTTGGACAGATGACTAGGGAGATGACTAGGAAACTTGGACAGATGACTAGGACAGATGTAGGTCTCCACCATCAGAGTTGAGAGCCAGGGGAGCCAGAAGTCTAAGAGTGGGAAAATACAGGGAAAATACAGATGCAGTTGCCCTAAACTGTGATGCGAGTCACTTAGGGCTTATCTACATGGTGGGACAATGAGTTCTACAGGGGCATGATTGCTAAAGTGCACTAATGTGTTGCTTGTTAATTAGTCCATATAGACCTTGCTAGTGTGCACTAAAGGTTCCCTAGTGTGCTTTAACAAAGTACTGTTTCAAACAGTACTACCTTATAGTGCAAAAGCAGGATCTACATGTTTCAGTTAAGGCACAACACGTTCGTATGCTTCAGAAATCACAATGCTATGGGTGCATTACCCCACTGTGTAGACAAGTCTGTCTCTGCCTCAGTTCCCCATCTTTAAAATAGGGATAATAGTTCTTCTCTACCTCACAGGGGTGATGTGAGGATGAGTACATTAAAGATTATGAGGCATTCAGATATTATGGTAATAGGACGATAGTAATATCTAGCTAGATCAGTGATACTCAGACCTCAGTGGTTCAGGAGCCAAATTAGCGATCAACATTGCCCAAAAGAGCCACAGTAGTTTGAATTAATTGTTTCATTTACTATACTATATATAATTATTCTCACAGCAAAATGACTGACCAAGTATTCTACAATTTAACGACGTAGTAAAAGGATCCTGAAGGGTTAATAACTTAGATTGGTTAATAATTAAATCACACGGTGTTTTAATATCACGTGCTGCAAAGAGCTGCTGATGACCCATTCAAGAGCCACTTGCAGCTTCCAAGCCTCAGTCTGAGTATCATTGAGCTAGACAGTCCTTAGTGCACTGGCCATGGGACTGATTGATATTCTGACACCTCTTTTCCATCTCCAATTTCTATCATTCCATCTTTCAGGTGAAGGAGGAATATACAGTCCCAGTACTGCAAGCTCTTATGTGTATACTTCACTTTAAGCATATGAGTAACCGCGCTGACTTTAATGTGACTGTTCACAAGCTTAAAATTAAGCATGAGAGTGCTTTCAATTGTGGCTCCTGAGATTCTCAGGTGATAAAATGCTACTTCATCTCCTCCCCGGCTAGGTGAAAGAATACTTTTCCCTCCCCTGCTAAACAGCGTTTTAAATCCTGTGCAGGGTTTCCATTTTCTACCATGTTTCGTAGAAAACAGAGGTCTATGTAAGTGTATGAAACTGAAGTCCTTTTGTTTTTCTGTTGCTCCTGAACTCCACCCTCTCCAGTGGAAAATTTTTGACGCCTGTTGTTTTGTAGTCTTTTCTATGGCTAGGTGGCTGAGTTTTTGCTGTGTAAGAGACAATGACTCAGAGTCCATATCATGCAGAAAGGGACCTGGTGAAAGGGTTCTGCTAGCATAATCACCTCACAGTTTCAAGTATTTTCAGAAGACCAAGAAGTATGTGTGTCACAGTTCCTACTAAGCACATTCTCGGTGCCAGGTGTTGGTCACATTCAGATATTAATTCTTTCGTGGTTATTGTTACTGCTGGTTTTATTCCCTTTCAGTTTCTGAACCCTGCACCTAACATTTCTAGCAATACTTTACAGTTAACCAGAAGCTTTTCGTTCATCTATGAACCGTAGGTAAATTTACCTTATTATAACACTTTTGTGACTCATATTTTCTTCAGAAGTACATAACAGCATGAAGAAAAATAATACATGAAATGCTGTAGTCCATAGATAAGCACTACTTTTATATAGGGGACTTGTAAAACATTCATAGTGTAATGGTGTCTCAGATTTTCAAATATACTTGTGTGTGATCGCTACATAAATACCGTGTGTGTATGCTGTATTATGTACAATTTTGTTAAAAGATATTGGGCTGCCGTTTGCATTCAGTGAAATGTGTGTATCTACATTGTCTTCAACATTTCACAGGAATAAATGATGGCAAAATTTAATTCACCATGTCTGAGGATTTCAAAGAAATGGATTCTTAATCCCAGAGTGTTATCTGATGTGGATTAAATTAGATATCATTCCTTTCCTGCTGCTATCAAGGACCATATTGAGTCACCTTATAACACTGAAGTTGAAATCCAAGTGAAATTTAGTCATGAAAAGAATCTCTAGTGCAATTCATTAACTGTAGAATGAATCTTATTGATGGGTATGTTACCGTACTGTGGTTCTGCCTATGTTACATTTGTGGAGTACCCCTTGAAGTGAATGGAGATACATACATGAAGGTTAGGATAAGGTCTTCTGTGTGTATATGGCCAGGCTATTCATGAGATGAGCAATTCATTACAGGGGAGATGATAAAAAGCACAAATGGCATCTATTGACTTGGAGATGGGAATCTAACTCCTCTTTGTGCCTTTGAAAATCTTCTCCCATATCAACTAATCAGTTATAAAAAAGGTGCACAGTGTGAAAATTGCTGGCCTGTTGAGGCCTCTCCTCACTTTCACTGTTCTCATTTCCTTCTCTCTTTTCTGTTCTGATTTTGCAGCTGACGTTTTGTGTGCTTGTTGCAGTCCAGGGTATTAACAGGATTTTAAAGTTTTAGCTAGCTAGTGATGGGGACAAATGAGTGAAGTATTCCAGCCCTACAGGGGATTCTATTTTGGGTATTTATTAAACTTTCCTGTCGTACAATATATACTGACAGTGATGAGTGTTAGACCTCTCACCATGTGAAAAATGAACATTTTAAATATGGCAACTTTTTTATTCCAGCTTCCTAACAGTTTCCTCCACGTGCTGCATTACTGCAGGTTGTTGAGCTGGGACTTAGTTGCCAATCAATATTCTGTGTTGAGAAAAAGAAATTGCTGCCACTCAGTGGGAAAATATATAACCAAACTTGCGACCTGTTTAAAAAAAATGTCCACTTTGAAGTCTGTTTTGTAGTTTTAATTAATGCAACAAGAGTTTTTATTTTACTCTCAGTGGAGATAATCTTAATCCATTCACAGCGACCTTTTCTTGTGCAAATTAGCTATACACGCTTGTTTAAGCAAATGGGCCTTCGGAAGATCTCTTCCTAATGACAGGGTTTATAATTGAAAATTGGCTAACTCCCATCTGCCTGCCCTGTGTGAGAATATAAAAATAGATCTGGATATATATAATATACACACACACACACATACATACACACATATACATATTTATCTTCTATCTATATATGTACAAAAAAAATTCAGTGCCTGCAGGCCACGATTAAATTAGATTATTAGAATTAGAAAATGTCAATGCCGAATGTTACTGTCAAAGTAGCACCTGTCTCCAGAGTGCTGGTAACTCTTGAGAAATGAGGGGTATTTAATCTTGATCCTTTTGTCTCAGACCCAGCAGGCTGCAGGGTCAGTGCCATTTACAGTTCCAGAGGTTTCCATTAATACAGAAGTACAATTAGCTAATAACTGGCTTGAAACTTTTAGGATTTGATGTGTGTTTTTGGTAAATGGTTTTGAAGTGATTGATGGAATTGGAACAAAAACAGTAGTATCTAGCTTAAAGCTTTAATTTTAAGGATCAGAAGTCATTGGAGCTCTATGTTAATTATTAAAATTTGTTTCTGTGCTTTTTTTCTTTAGCTGATTTCCCCTTCCTCCTCCCCCTCTCCGTCCGCCTCCCCCCCCCCCAATAACAACTGATGACCCTTCTTTATTGATTCCTGATTGATTAGAAAAGATTTGTATTGTTTAGCTGAATATTCTGGGCTGTTTTTTACAAACCTCTTGCTCAGAGGTGAACAAATTAATGCTTGCTTGTGACTAAATCTGGTTCACTATGTGCCGAGTCTTGAAACCCTGTTTTTGTGAAGACAGTTGACCTTAATTGTCTGTATTTTCCTTTCAAATTCAGAGCTCCCCCAAAGATATTTTAGCAGTAAAAAACACCATATGTATATTCCTAACAACAAAATTGATGATTCTAAAGGCAAAATCCCTTTTGCCTATTCTCTGTTAACCACATTGATTGCCTTTCCATTACAAACAAAAAAGAGATGGAGGGGAGGGGAAGTGGAGGAGAGGAAGAAAAAGGCAGAGAGAGAGAGAGAACGGTTTAACCTTATGGTGAGCGTACAGAAATGGACTTGATTGGAGATGATTTTATCCAGATGTATATCAGCAGATGTTTGCATTTTCATGCACAGTTACTCTAGGACTCATCGTTAATTTGATTTTCTCTTTCTTATCTCCCTCCACCCCCCTGTTCCTGTTAGGTATGATTATCGTGAAATGCTGCACAATGCCACTTTCTGTCTGGTTCCCCGTGGCCGCAGGCTTGGATCCTTCAGGTTTCTGGAGGCTTTGCAGGTAAGAGCTGGGGATTAAAACTTTGACTCTGCTGGTTGGAATTCAGCTGGTGATATCAAGAGGTGGTGTTTGGGGTTGTGTTTAATTTCCCTAGTGGGCAATAATCCACACTGCGGAAGCCTCTAGTCATGCTTCCGAAGCAATTGGCAGCTTCTTCGCAGGAGGGGCTCGGCACTGAGCTCGTCTGAAGATTGAATAGCGTTACCTCCATGAAGAGTGTTTCCCTGCTCATTGTAGAAGAGGTGAAGTCGGATCCGTTTAGAGCAGTGTTTGCCCAACTGAGTCTGGATTCCCTGGGGAGACCTTGACCTGTTCTAGCAAGTCCTGGGGCAATAAAAACAGCTTATTGTTTTCAGCTGAAGCAAACTTGCCTACGCGTTGTTTGCTGTGCTGCATACTGAATGTGCAGATGATGGTTCTGTTCTGCTGCTTCCCATGTGAAAGTAATGCAGCAAGAAGGACATTCAAACCGGCTGCTGTCTACGTGTTTAAAATATTCTTCCGTATTGTGTCAGAGGTAGGACTCCCCAACTCCTCTTCAACTTTTGAAATCTTTCAGTCAGCAAGATGCTCTCTTTTGTTTGGCCAGCAATGGAGAGCAAAGGCATAAGGTTTGAAAATCCTGTGGCAGGCAGTGTGGTTCAGTAGATACAGCACTGGAGCAGGAGTCAGGTAACGGGGCTTCTATTCCTACCTCTCCCACTGAGCCACTCTGTCTCCCCCTGCCGAAGTCACTTCTCTTCTGTTTCCCCTCCCCTAAGCACTGCACTAAGAGCCAGCAACTCCTAACGTCTGGTCTTTACTAAGATATTGACTCCCTGTGTTATTTCAGCTAGGTCACATCACCCCTTTTCTGTGGTATTCCCACTCTGTACCTACTTCCCAGGGAAGTGGTGAGGCATAATTAATGTCTGTGAAGTATTTTGAAGATGAAAACTGCTAACTGTTGTGTTGGGGGGGTTTAGACGGTGTAATGCGGTTTCCTTACCAACAAACAGAATCTTTACCCATTGCAAATACTGCTGCAGCATAGACTTGACTAGATCAAAGTTACTGCACAGAATTAGAGAGTGAGAGAGAGAATGCACTGCAATTAGAAAACTTCCCCAGTGTTCCACTTATTACTGAGCATGGGAAAGACCAGATCATTTATTGTACTGTCTGGGCGATAATTCAGATCAATTAAATCTGGCTTGGTCTAGAAGAAACTGAACCACCACAGCAATGGTCTGATCCAAATCCCACTGAACTCAGTGCGAGCCTTTCCACTGACTTCAACAGACTTTGAATCAGGTCTCAAGTTCTGGTCCAACTGACCAATAGGTGGCAGTGAATTATTTATTTACTTATACAGTACCAGTAATGTGGTGTTTACTAAACATTATACAATTATGGTTGCTGCCTCAAAGAGTTTACATTTTAACAATAGCACATAGTATATTGGACACACTGGCAGAACAAAAGTTGGTGATAAATGAGTGATATACACCTCTAACCCGATATAACGCGACCCGATATAACACGAATTAGGATATAACGCGGTAAAGCAGCGCTCCGGGGCGGGGGGAGGGAGGGGCTGCGCGCTCTGGCAGATCAAAGCAAGTTCGATATAACGCGGTTTCACCTATAACGCGGTAAGATTTTGGGGCTCCCAAGGACAGCGTTCTATCGGGGTAGAGGTGTGTGTTTATATTTAAATATAAAGTCAATGGATTAAATTTTCCAAACTGGTGTCTCTGACTGTGGCCAGGTTTTGTACATGCAGTTGTTTACAAGCACAGAACATATACTATGATGTACAAAATGGATAACTAAACATCTGCTCTTATGGAAAAGAGCTATAGAGTTAAATATTAAATAAATTTTCAAAAGGTTTTTCTTAAACCGTCTTATGTAATTTAATACATAAATTCTCCCTAGAGAAGTCTGTAGTTGGTTCATAAAACATCTACATCTGAGTGCAAATTCTCCTTTGTACATGCAAAATCAGTGTTTCCCTGCGTGCAACCAAATGTGGAGCCTGTTTAGAGAGTGGAGATCAGCTGGGATCTTGGCAGATGTATTGTTATGTCTGCCTTGTAGGGCCCTTTGCAGGTTTTCTTTTTTTAATGTCTTTCGTGAGAGCTTGGGTCCTGACTTCTGCTGAAAATGCCAATAATTCAATTTGTATGCACTTCAAAGTTTGTGCTAATCAATGACCACACACTCAGTGCTTCTTCTAATGTTTGCAATTCCTCTGTGTGCAGGCTGCCTGTGTCCCAGTTATGCTTAGCAATGGATGGGAGTTGCCATTCTCCGAAGTGATTGATTGGAACCAAGCTGCCGTCATAGGGGATGAGAGATTGTTATTACAGGTAAGAAAACGGCTGTGGCCTTCAGCATATTGCTCGAGTGCTGCTGCCACCAACTAAACTTGTAGGAAGATGAATCCAAAAGGTCAGTTAGGGTTAGGGTCACTGTAAATATGAAGTCATTTAATATGACATCATTCATTTTCTGACCAGAAGGTCACTCAGACATTGTTAAACACAGAAGAGTCTTTTTTTTTAAGAGTATCAAATTTCTTTTGGATGCCTCTCTAATAGGATGTCCTCCGTTATCTATCAACTACATGCCCGAGGGTGAACACATCATTTGGGAACAATTTCTGCCACCCGTACTTGTACTGCAGAATACCTTACTCTGCAAAGAGACCTGTTGATGTAGATTGCCAAATGTACAGGAAGATGGTGACACTGAAGATACTACGTGTGGAGTTAGGTGCTACCCAACATTGTTGTGGGAGGCAGAATCTGTCCCTTATCTTTCTGTACCTCTCTTTTTCATTTTTAAGGGTGATGTTACGTATATCTTAATTGTTTATCTCCATGACGGAGAGTGAAATAGGACTATAGAATTACCAGTTAGTGTTGTGTTGTTACTGTCTTTAACTGCTTCTTTCTTAAATGCTCTCAGATTGTTTTTCCTATTTCTATAATACTATTTCTGTGTTTTCTTCAAAATCAGTTAGAAGCCAAAGTATACAATGATATCATCAAGGAAACACCATTGAAAAAAATTTCTTCAGTGCAGAACCTATTAAAGGACGAGCAAAGCTGTGGCTGTAGTCCATTGGCTAGGGCACTAAACTGAGATGTGGGTTCTAGATTTCTGGCTCTGCCATTGAACTGCTGTGTGATCTTGGACAAATCACTTCTCTCTGTGTGCCTCAGTTTCCCCCTGCAGTAAAATGGGCATCATGATTCTTCTGTGATTTCTAAAGCATTTTGAGGCAAATGGGTGAAGTGCCAAATTTTAAAGGTATTTAGGTACTGAGGCACTAGAAATTAATAGGAGCTAGGTGCTCATCCCTTTTGAAAAATCCACTAGACACACTCTTCTGCATCTTTAGTTGATGAAATTAGGGATGTAAATAATGTGTAAAACAGTAATCATGTAACCAATTAAAATTCTACCCGGGGAACTAGGGGTGCAGCACCCCCACATTTTAGAATCATAGAACTGGAAGGGACCTCGAGAGATCATCTAGTCCAGTCCCCTGCACTCAGGGCAGGACTAAGTATTATCTAGACAATCCCTGACAGGTGTTTGTCCAACCTGCTCTTAAAAATCCCCAATGATGGAGATTCCACAACCTCCCTGGTCACTTTATTCCAGTGCTTAACCACTCTGACAGGAAGTTTTTCCTAATGTCCAACCTAAACCGCCCTTGCTGTAATTTAAGCCCATTGTTTCTTGTCCTATCCTCAGAGATTAAGAAGAACAGTTTTTCTCCCTCCTCCTTGTAACCTTTTATGTTCTTGAAAACTGTTATCATGTCCCCTCTCAATCTTCTCTTCTCCAGACTAAACAAACCAAATTTTTTCAGTCTTCCCTCATAGGTCACCTTTAATCATTTTTGTTGCTCTTCTCTGGACTTTCTCCAATTTGTCCATATCTTTCCTGAAATGTGACACCCAGAACTAGACACAATACTCCAGTTGAGGCCTAATCAGTGCGGAGTAGAGCGGAAGAATTATTTCTCATGTCTTGCTTACAATACTCCTGCTAATACAACCCAGAATGATGTTTGCTTTTTTTGAAACAGCGTTACATTGTTGACTCATATTTAGCTTGTGATCCACTATGACCCCCCGATCCCTTTCCGCAGTACTCCTTCCTAGGCAGTCATTTCCCATTTTGCATATGCGCAACTGACTGTTCCTTCCTAAGTGGAATACTTTGCATTTGTCCCTACTGAATTTCATCCTATTTACTTCAGACCATTTCTCCAGTTTGTCCAGATCATTTTGAATTTTAATCCTATCCTCCAAAGCACTTGCAACCACTCCCAGCTTGGTATCATCCGCAAACTTTATAAATGTACTCTCTATGCCATTATCTAAATCATTGATGAAGATATTGAACAGAACCGGACCCAGAACCGATGCCTGCGGGACCCCACTCGTTATGCCCTTCCAGCATGACTGTGAACCACTGATAACTACTCTCTGAGAACAGTTTTCCAGCTAGCTATGCACGGGGGGAGGGATAGCTCAGTGGTTTGAGCATTGGCCTGCTAAAACTCAGGGTTATGAGTTCAATCCTTGAGGGGGCCATTTAGGGATCTGGGGCAAAAATCTGCCTGGGGATTGGTCCTGCTTTGAGCAGGGGGTTGGACTAGATGACCTCCTGAGGTCCCTTCCAACCCCGATATTCTATGATTCAGGTGCACCACCTGATAGTAACTCCATCTAGGTTGTATTTCTCTAGTTTGTTTATGAGACGGTCATGGGAGACAGTATCAAAAGCCTTACTAAAGTCAAGCTATACCACATCTACCACTTCCACCCTATCCACAAGGCTTGTTACCCTGTCAAAGAAAACTATTGGCTTGGTTTGACACGATTTGTTCTTGACAAATCCGTGCTGATTGTTATTTATCACCTTATTATCTTCTAGGTGTTTGCAAATTGATTGCTTAATTATTTGCTCCATTATCTTTCCGGTACAGAAGTTAAGCTGACTGGTCTGTAATTCCCCAGGTTGTCCTTATTTCCCTTTTTTAGATGGGCACTATATTTGCCCTTTTCCAGTCTTCTGGAATGTCTCTTGTCTTCCATGACTTTTCAAAGACAATTGCGAATGGCTCAGATATCTCCTCAGTCAGCTCCTTGAATATTTTAGGATGCATTTCTTCAGGCCCTGGTGATTTGAAGTCATCTAACTTGTCTAAGTAATTTTTGACTTGTTCTTTCCCTATTTTAGACTCTGATCCTACCTCATTTTCACTGGCATTCACTATGTTAGATGTCCAGTCTCCACCAACCTTCTTGGTGAAAACCAAAACAAAGAAGTCATTAAGCCATTTCCATATTCTCTGTTATTGTGTTTCCCCCCTCATTGAGTAACGGGCCTACTCTGTCCTTGGTCTTCCTCTTGCTTCTAATGTATTTGTAGAATGTTTTCCTTTTATGTCCCTAGCTACTTTGATCTTGTTTTGTGCCTTGGCTTTTCTAATTTTGTCCCTACATACTTGTGTTATTTGTTTATATTCATCCTTCATAATTTGACCAAGCTTCCACTTTTTGTAGGACTCTTTTTTGAGTTTTAGATCATTGAGGATCTCCTGGTTAAGCCAGCGTGGTCTCTTGCCAAACTTCCTATCTTTCCTACGCAGTGGGATAGTTTGCTCTTGTGCCCTTAATAATGTCTCTTTGAAAAACTGCCAATTGTCTTCAATTGTTTTTCCCCTACCAACTCCCTGAGTTTGCTAAAGTCTGCCTTCTTGAAATCCATTGTCTTTACTGTGCTATTCTCCCTCCTACCATTCCTTAGAATCATGAACGCTACCATTTCATGATCACTTTCACCTAAGTTGTCATAGTTGTGTTTATTTACTAGCATTTCGAGTTCTTCCTGCTTATTCCCCATACTTCTCACATTAATATACAGACATCTAAAATACTGATTTGATCCCCCCTCCCCGTTCTGTCTTCTCTCCCTTATTTCTGCTATGACAGCTGAAATATTTTACATGGGGCTCAGCTGCTGCCCCCGAGCCTGGGCGGGGCTGGCAGCCTGGAGTGACCCCAGATGCGCCGGGATGCCGGGCAGCAGCAGAGCCCCGGCACAGGACAGCAGCCAAGATGCTGGGTGCGCAGGGATGCCGGGATGGTGGACAGCAGCAGAGCCCCAGGTGCGGCAGCAGCGGGGACCCTGGCCACAGGACCCTGGGAGGAGTTTAACCATTAACCGCTTAAACTTTTACTTCCCTAGATGAAATACTTTAAAAAATCTGACCCCAAAAGCTCTACTTAAGAGAGAACTATGATTATGAATTAATTGCAAGTATAAAAAGAAGGTAATTTTTTGCTTCAAAGGACAACACGTTTTTGTAAGCAAAATTATTTAAAAAAATATAATTTGCTGATCTTTGTGCCTTCCTGTAACATGCCATTCGTTCTCTTCACAGCTGCTTCCTTATTGAACAGCTACGGCACCGTTATTAACAGTGTTTGTAAAGTGCTGGCACAGAGCCTGAATGTCTGCTCTGGGAAATGTTTTTGTTATGTTGCAGTTTTTCATTTCCTGTTTTAGAACAGCTCGGATGTTTTTATTTGCATATTCTTGTTACCATAGCACCAGTTTAGCTCCAGTCTTAATTTAGTCTTCCTGCATTTATTTTTGTAGGGTTATCTTTTTTCCCCTTTTATTACCGAAATGACCTTTTATTAAGACGTCATCTAGTTCTAATAATTCCAGTGTAATCCTGCCAGATTAGTATGAATATATCATTTTCCAAACCTGTCTTTCTGGACAAATAGATTAATAACTAATAGGCGGACACAGTTAAAATGGGAGCTCTGATTTTGCTTTCCAGCTGTTTCCAGGCCAGGCACACAGGCAGGCTAAGGAATTCTCTAACCTTGGCACAACGTTTATGGGCACATACATGAAGCACAGTCTTCTGTAGAACAATAACCTCTTCAACTTTCAGGGTCAGAATTGCTTCCGCATTACAAAGGAGAGAGCGTGCTGTAGTTGGAGACGGGTGTTAATTTCATTTTGTGTCCATCACAAGATCTAGCCCTGTGAAATCATGCGTGGTGCCATGAAACATTTATGTCTATTAGAAGTAATGCCCCATGGCCGTACTAAAATGCAGTCACAATAATATGATTGCTGTTGATAATGGTGCTGTTAACATGCATCACTATACTCCCATACTTACAGGAACCTAATAGAAAACAATGCACTTTATAATCCATATCAGAGGACTGAATTTTGTAGTACAGTGGTATAAACTCAAATAGTAAGATGCCTCATTTGTATACAGGCAGTCCTCCGACTTACGACACAATTGGTTCCTTACAATTGTGTCGTAAGTCGGAACCACAGTCTACTCTATTGCGGGACCAAGTGTCGTAAACTCGAAACCTATAGTCGTAAGTCAAATCAGGATGTCAATGTAGAAGCATCGTAAAGTCGAGGTCTGCCTGTATATATTTTAACTGCTTCCCTGTGCTCCACCCTTCCTGTGTTGCTTCTTTTACAGGAAGGATCAAGCAAAAGACTCTAATATGCCATGGGCCTCTTATCACCCTGACTGTTTTGCTTCTATATGGTATCCCACTCCCTTGGTTCCTTGTCCTTTTAAACCCCAATTCAAGGTCTGAGGGTATGTCTGAACTGCAGTGGAAGTGGGACTGTGATTGCAGCCCGTGTAGACATACCTGAGCTAGCTTTAATCTACCTAACGTGGGTACCTATGGCAGTGAAGCTGCAACAGCACAAACTTCAGTGCAAGCTTTACAAGCCAGCCTGGAGCCCTGGGTAACTATTGAGGTGGCTTGCTTGTGCTGAAATTTGTGCTGCCAGGGCTTCACTGCTATCAGGATGTGAGTTGCCTAGATTAAAACTAGCATGGGTGTGTCTGCACATGCCACAATCACACACACACACACCCCAATTGCAGTGTAGACAAATGCTTAGATTACAAGATCTTTGGGGCAGAAATTGTCTCTTACCATTTGTACAGCACCTAACAATGTGGAGCCATGATCCTGTTTGGGAATTGTGGGCACTACCTGAATGCAAATGAGACAGAATAATAATTGTATAACATCTACATAACCCTCCTGAATCTCTTTACATATCAAACCTTAAAACTTTGAATCCTGTTCAGTTTCCTGCAGATGTGTATGAAACTGCACAATAATCTTTGCCACCACCACTCTTTCAGAACATTATATGAAGAATAATTGTATTCTGATCGGGGATATTTTACGTGGAGAGTGTGTGTGTGTGTGTGTGAGAGAGAGAGATAGGGGTGTGTGTATTAGGGGTGTGGGTGTTTAGGTTAATCTAATAACTAGATGGACGATGATGATAATGCTATCTTATAATAATGCAAACTTTGGTGCTTGTGTGTAATTAGCCATGGAAGTAAATATATGACAGGCTTGTGAGAAATAAGAGAAGGAGAATGAGGTGGCCTGACTTGAAATAATTAGAAGTAGGTACCAAAGCAAAATAACTCCCCATTTCTACAAGAAGTGAACACACCCACACTACACTGAAGGGGCCTGATTCTCATTTACACTTAGGCCACTAACACCACTCTGACAGTGTAAAGAGATCTTGAAGGAGGAATAAATTACAGTTACAACCACTCCAATGGCCTCTTATACGGCCAGAGCAGTGAGTACGGAGACCTTAGAGCTTGTCTACATGGAGAATTAATGGGAAAGTTAGTATAAAATAGCCAGGGTGTGAATTCAAAGGGCAATAGCTATTTCCCACTAACTCCCCACTTCTTGCCATTTAGGTTAATCTGCTTCCAGAGGGGACAAACCTAAACTGCACAAAGGAACTCAATGCAGAATAAGTGTACACAGGGGGTGCTAATATGGAGTAGCTATTCCCCTCTAGCTGTTCTGTACTAGCTAGTCCAGGCCTTTTCCCTGAGTAGACACACTCTTAGTGCAAATGAGAATCAGGCTTTTAAGAAGCTAAATACTAGTCTGTACAGATGTTGGACTCTCTCCAAAGTGTGTGGGGAATGTGGGTTCACACACCCCCTCCTTCTGATCTGGTTTGCAGGATAACTCTCTATCAGGAAGAGGGATGGTAGGATTTATTTTTTCATTTATAAGGAAAGCTCTACCAGAATTAAAGCTGCACAATGTGTCCAATGAAAAATATCATTGTTTTTTCCTTGTAAATAGCAGATGTTTTCTTCTCTCCCCGTTATTCCACAAAGGGGTGGCTTTGCTGCAGATGCTGTGATGGTTTCTTCAGGGAATTTGTGGTGCCACGTTGTAGTGACTGCAATCGCAGATCCCTTTAATATACTTTCAGAATGGAGAGCATTGTTGGACTCTAAATACCCACAGCTACTAGTATTTTAAATTGGTGGTTTGCAAAAAGCTGTGTGCGCAAGGGATTTACTGAAAAGTTCCTCACTGTGACTTTCCACCGCTCCAGAAGTGGAAAAAGTAGCATTTGCTACCATAGAAACAACTTTCTTAAAAAAATGGAGACTTGCTAGTAAATCCTAAGGTTGGCCAATAGGCTCAAATACCAAAGGTCACAAAAGGTGCCGCTCATTCATTTTCCAGTCGCTGTTCTTTAGCTGCTAATTCACATATCTGTGTCGGGTGGGGGTATTGGCTGACAATGAATCTGTGTTGCTGGGTAGGAGCAGAGAATGCTAGTTTGGGATTCTCAAGCATGTATTAATTTGATCAGGTTACATTGTTTTCCACACCATCTGATTGTAGTGCACCTTGTATTACAGATTCCTTCTACAATCAGGTCTATCCATCAGGATAAAATCCTAGCACTTAGACAGCAGACACAGTTCTTGTGGGAGGCTTATTTTTCTTCAGTTGAGAAGATTGTATTGACCACACTAGAGGTGAGTAACAATTCTCAGATATTAGTCAGAGCAGAGATGTTCCTTAATATGTCTGCCACTCTCCGTGCTGAGCTGTTGTATGTGTGACCTTGGCTTTCATGACATGTGATTGGTCACCTGAAAAACCTTCAGCAGCTTGATAACTTTTCTCCCCTAAGGAAATATTTTCTTCATTATTGGAATCCACATAAGAAAACTGACATGGTGACAAATAGGAGCCATCCGACACATGAAAAAGTTGTCTTGTGCCATCACAGTTTCTCAAGGCTGATGAATCAGTATTCCTATCATTCATAGTGAATGTGATCCTTTAAAGGACCTTACTAGAACTCATTTTGGAAAAAATATAATTTAAAAGCCCCTTTTCTCCCATTCCCCCTCAATGTTTTGATGCCCTTTCACAGGTCTCTTGTTCTGGAAGTGGCTGCTTGTAAGTCACCTGAGACTTATCAAATGTGTGCATTTCCAAGGGAAGATAGAAGGTGACGTACAGAAGAAAGCCCAAATTATGCATAGCAGTCCAGCTGTGGACAGCCAGAGCCCATTGTACTCCAGCCATTCTTCCTCTTTACCCCAGCAAGGGTTGTGGAGAAGGAGGTATACACTGCTTCTGTACTCACTGCGATCACTCCTGCAATTGGGGTATCCCCAGCTCCCTTTGTTTCATTTACAGAATCTGTCCCCAAGTCCCTCAAGTGCAACTTTAGGGCTGAATTGAAACATCTTCAGTAATGTGGCCATAGTTGTCAGTTGACTAGGGGATGGTTAGTAACACCTGTAGCTAGGATTTAAAAAGCTACCAGCTAAGAAGCTTGAACTTAGTAGCAAGGAAGACTGAGGATAGAACAGGGAAGGAGCTGCAAGGTTTTAAGTTAATGAAACCAAGTCGGGCATATCGGACCTTTGATTTTTTGAATCTAGGATAAGCAATCTCACAGAACCACTTCTATGTAGAGAAGGCAAATTAACAATAATTCTGTTCAGTGGAAAATAACATGCATGCTCAGGTGTTCATTCCAGAGTCCAACAATCCCTAGAAAAGCCTGAATTGTTTCCTTTCAGAAAGAGAGAAAATAAAAGGTTTGTTTTTTATTTAGGTGTCAGAAGTTGGTAAGATCAGATGCACCCTCTGTTTAAAATTTGATGTGGGGGAGTAAATCATATAGTTGGAAAGGGAATGGATTTATTCTGGTAGTTACTTTCAATCTCTAACTATAATGCCGTAGTACTGCAATATCTTGATGATCCTACATATCATTTAGTCACCTCCTGTCTGGACTACAGCAATGCGATATGCCTGGGCATGAAGCCATCAGCCCTTAGGAAATTTCAAAGGGTATAGAATGCTGCAGCATGTCTCCTCAGCAACACAGGCTACCATGAGCACATCAGACCTGTCCCCTGCTCTGTACACTGGCATCCTGTAGAATATCAACTCAAGTTCAAAGTCTTGAAGGCCTTATCTTCAGGATGTTCAATGGCCTCCGCCCTGCATATCGTCACCAAAACCCTTGGTGAATAACTGCATGGCTCTGGAGTGCCGTGGACCTTTGTGCCTTGAGGGCAAAGCTTGGCTGTGCAGATGACCGCTTTCTCTGGGGGCCAGGCTGACACCGTGGAGGTTCGGGGGAGGACTATCGCAAAACTCCTCATCTTCTGCTCCAAGTGCAAGGTGCACTTCTTCAACCTCCCTTCTCCAATTGCAACACAGAGCAGTGTAGAAATTTAAGAAACAGAAACCAACCTTACACAGCTTACACAGTTCTCCTCTGGGAACAGGAGAAATGAGAGAGAATGAACCACATGTGACAGACGTTTAGTGCACTACTGGAAGGCACTCGGACACTACAGCGATGAGGTCAATACAAGAACCTGTATACGACAGAATATTTTGGGGAGGTGGGGGCTGAAATGTTGTGCCAGCAACATATTCTATGTAGACAGGACAGATCCAGCCGGGGTGCCTAACCTCCTCGCTATAAAACTGCCTGTGTTCCATAATCACCAGAGAGCCTCTAAAGCTGGTGCCGGTATTTAGAAATCTCTGCAATACATTTAGCAAATTACCATATGCTTTTTGTATTTTAATTGATTAGCTCTTCATGGATTCCTTTCATCCTTTTCTATTTCCTTTCCTTCGAGTTTTCTTTTCTCCATGCCATTCTTATAGGCTGCAAGGATTCTTATATTGGTCAGAAGTGCCATAAATTAATCTGCCATCTGTTAAATGTGATATATTCCACAGGTTGGCTTCCTAGCCTACTGAGTAACAGTATCAGTGAGATTTGTATGCCTCACATGCAATAAAGGTTGCATATGTTGCATGACATCAGAAGTTTATTTCAAGATGAAACTATTTTTTGCTCTGTGTACATTGAAAGATCATCAAATGTGAGCCGTGTGTTTCCCCTGAAGCGTTGTCGGCTACCAGAGCAGTGGAAAATTGTACAGTCTATGAAAACCTACTCATCATCTAAACCTGCAGACTACTACTTATCTGTTTATGCATCAGTTCTGAGAAAACTGGGAGGGGAGAGCGGGGGGGCCAAAGGAGCTAGTTCCATCTAGTTCTTCATCAGATGGTAGAAGATGCACATTTTTTAGTTTCGCTCTTCATTTTCTAGTTTCTTGTTACATTCAGTGGCATAAATTAAAGGAGGGGACAAGGCAGTCACTACCCTTCCCCCACCTTCCCACACAAAACACCCCATGGCTGAAGCATGTAACTTTACATCTATTAATAGAAATATCTAGAGATGCACTTGATAGTGTAACATAACTAACTCTGACACAGTCTTGAGTCCACTATTCTCATATGGAAAATGCTGCTAGCTTGACGTTAAGATTGTTCCTGTGCATTTCCCATGTAATCACAAATTTTAGGAAATGACCATTTGGGACAGCCTTCATTCGCATGCTATATTACCCTAATGTCACATTACCCTCATGCCCTTGGAGACTCCTTACCTCTACAACTAACTCAATCAGTAGCTCTTCCTACACATGTGGTCTTTGCTTTCAAATTTTGTGTGCATACACCTTGAGTATATAGAATTAGTTTTATCATCGCAAACATATAGCACTGTTAATGTTATTCTATGGACTGTGTTACACAGTAAGTGAGACTAGATCATCTAATGGCCCTTACAAAGATACACATCTTTTCCCTGCTCCAAAAAGCTTGCTCTAGTAGTTGCCCAAATTTCTTTCCATGTTGGATGAAATGGGAACTTCTGGAACCACGCCCGTGGTGGACAGTTATCTGTAAAGTATGTATGGGATCTGATGTAATTAGTCACTTTGTCACATAATAACTCAATTATAAAATAAAGGGGAAAATATCAACCCAGCCTGTTTGGCTTGGAAGTCTGTCTTTGTGTATTTAAAAGTTTTCCTTATCTCAAAATAACACTCATCTTTTGTAATTCCATTCTTGACTAATTATTTTATGCAAGTCATGGATGGTAAACTCTAGAATGAACTAATCAGGCCTGCAACTGACAAGTGATTTTAGATGGAAAAATATTTCACTTTAAATGCAGAATCTAATGAATTGCAAGATCCCTATGTCCGCAGAGACTAATGAGATAGTTTGAATACTGTTATTCAAGGCCTCAAACTGCCAAGAATGTGCGCAAGTGTATAGGTTCGGTGTCGTCTTTAAAAGAGATTAAACAGGAATGCCAAGTAATTTGTGTCTCGCTGCTTTTTACAAAATGTGTAGTGATTGCAGTCTGCAAGAGTTGCTGAAGATTCTACCGATGGCCATTAGAATTTATTTACAAATCACTACCTTTCTTATTTTCCAGATTATTCAGGACAGAATATTTAAGCACATATCACGTAACAGTTTAATATGGAACAAACATCCTGGAGGGTTATTCGTATTGCCACAGTATTCCTCATATCTGGGAGATTTTCCTTACTACTATGCTAATCTAGGTGAGTGAATCCTTGCTTCTGGATCTCACACGTATTGGGGTATTGTTGATTTCTGGATGGTGTGTTGTAAATGGCTCACCAGAAATATCTATCTAATGGCATTCTTGTTTATCTTGTCCTCCAAAACAGTGGCTTTCAACCTTTCCAGACTACTGTACCCCTTTCAGGAGTCTAATTTGTCTTGCGTACCCCAAGTTTCACCTCACTTAAAAACTACTTACTTTTCTATTTTTATGTCTGATTTTTAAGCATCACAGCCCCTATTCCTGAAAAATTGTTTACTTTCTCATTTTACCATATACTTATAAAATAAATCAATTGGACTATAAATATTGTACTTACCTTTCAGTGTATAGTACATACAGCAGTATAAACAAGTCATTGTCTATGAAATTTTAGTTTGTACTGACTTCACTAGTGCTTTTTACATGGCCTGTTGTAAAACTAGGCAAATATCTAGATGAGTTGATTACCCCCTGGAAGACCTCTGCGTACCCCCAGAGGTACACCTACTCCTGGATAAGAACCACTGCCCCAAAACTCTGCCCCCTGCTGGATGGAATGTCATTGACTGACCTGCATAAGTACAGGATATCATGTTACCCCTCTAATAGCTGCCGCCTACAGAGAATATTGTAACAAATCCATGCCCTCCCAGCATTTTCTGGTTATCATTATGTTGCAGATCAGTAGCTGGCAACTTCATGGCAACACTGGTTTGCATTCGTTGCTTAGCTCTGCTTGACAATACTCAGAGACAACAGAAGTTATTCGCAAATAATTCTCTGAGTTGATAGTCAGTATAGATCCACCCTCCCCACCCTCCAGCCTCACTTCTTCAGAGTCTCTGTATGGGTTCTGATTGAGTGGCAGGAACTGAGAAGAGTTTAATCCCTGGCTCCTTTAGGCAAAGACTGAATGTTGAATTCTGCAAGGGAACATGCCTGCAGCCTCAACAGTCACTGCTTACCAGGGTTCCAACTCTGGTGCCAGCAGCATAGGTCTGACACGCTGCTCAAAGAACCACTGTTACATTGTAAAAGGAAAATCTGGATGTTGAGTTGTTGTGGAAGAAGAACTAAGAGGATTCAACAACACTTCCAGTTAGGGAGGAGAAAAATGACCGTGCCACCAAGGTTGTGGGCCTGGGTGAGGTGAAAGGAGAATGGTATTTGCAGCAGTAGTGAAGGGAGGAAGCAGGTAGGATCTACCATATGCCACCAGTATATGAGCTGGTGGAAGGATGACTGGAATCATATCTCACTGAAACTTGCAGACTCTCAAGTATGGATGGAGGGGGATTGTTCTTCAACGGGCAGGCAGAATAGTTAGTCATCAACTCAGAGATGATCGTTGAAGCTTTGTGTGTGGATGAAGTCGCCCTTGGGTAGGATGTAGAGGAAAAAGGAGAGGACAAAGGACGTGACTCTGAGGGATGCTGAAACAGAGGGGAGAAAGAAGTACCATTGGAGATGTTGACGGAACTATTGGAGAGGCAGGAAGAGAGCACCAAGAAGCCAGCATCTATCAGGAAGTCCAAGGGGGAGGGGGTGATTAGTCGTATCAGTGGCAACAGAGAAATCAGGAAGCATGAAGATGAGGGAAGAAGCCCTTAGACTTGGCCAGGAGAACTTAACTGATGAACTTGGCAAGGGTAGTTTCTATGGAGCAAAAGGGGAGAAACCCAGATTGCAGGACATCCAGGAGGGAATCAGAGGAAACGACATAAAAGCAGAGGTTGTAATATGGACAGAGCATTCAGAGAGCTGGGGAGTGCACCCTCTTCTGGAGCATCTGGTACTGTAGCGACAGGATACTGGATGAGATAGTCTGATCCAACATGGCATTTCCTTTGTTCTTAAATGGTCTTTTTCCATCTCTGACTTCTTTGATTTATACTACACAAGGCAGCTTGGTCTATATTCAACTTGCATCCATTTTTCATTTCAGGTCTCAAACCCCCCTCCAAGTTCACTGCCGTTATCCATGCAGTAACTCCCTTGGTATCCCAATCTCAGCCTGTGCTGAAACTCCTGGTTGCTGTAGCCAAGTCCCAGTACTGTGCACAGGTGAGCCCTGCTGTTTGACTGTCAATCATTTTTGAGGCAAAGCCATCACAGAAACAAAAACCCCACTGACTTCAGGTCTTGTCACTCCTCCTTCTCGTTTCCAATTCCCTGTTTTAAACTTCGATCCTCATTGTCTCTGAGATCGCTATAATCAGAAACCTTAACCAGCATGTGTGGGGAATAAAAACTCTGAACTTTAATAAAAGTGGAAAACAGATGATCACAACTCTGATTTATTTTGGGAAGAGAGGTAAAATAACAGCTGTGCTTTACAAGTAGGGCATATGTATGATATAAATAACAAAAGGGTCAATAGGTCTATTGACTGCCTTACCTCCCTTTATCTCAGCAGCATTTGGACTTCTCACTGCCTGGTGATACTATCTCAAGAAGGCAGTAGGACTGCCCTCTACTTTGAAGAGTCCATGAGTGCTTTAGACTTTATCAAGTGCCCAAATAAACCAGTAACACCCTCCTGAGTAAGGCTAGAGACTCTCTGGTTTTCTGTTCAGATGGTATTTGACTTAGGGGATGTAGAATTTATTGTCAAGGTGGGTGAGTAGCTGGGGGATGTTATTTTTATGCCAACTGGATATTAATTTGATCGTGTCGCCTTTTTTGAAACTCCTAAACTGAATCCATTTGGTGCTCAGGGTCCTCCAGGCTTGAACTCCACAGACGTAAATGTATCCATGTGTGTCTAACACCGAAGGTCAATCTTCCTTTCAGATCATTGTTTTATGGAATTGTGATAAACCCCTCCCAGCCAAACACCGCTGGCCTGCCACTCCTGTGCCTGTCATAGTCATCGAAGGGGAGAGCAAGGTAGGCGGAGAGAAAAACGGTCAAAGATTGCAAGTATGGTGCAGTGGGACTGGGTACTTACTTCTCCAGCTGGCAAATGTTTGATGGTGACCAGGTGGACGATGCCCCTTCCTTTACCTCTGCCTTTTGTACCAATGTGATTGAACACCATTGTTCTAATGAAGGTTCAGTGTATGAAGTTTGTCCTTTCATCACATGTCAGCTATTGATCAAGGGGGCAATCAATACTGCGAGTCTGAGAGTGGCATAAGGACCCAATTTTCAATTGTGGCTACCTAGAGAGGAGGTGCTAATCTTGCATGCCTGTGAGCAGGCAGGAGCATTAAATTAATAATGCACCCAAATGCTAGTCTGAGTGTTCTGACGCAGGATTTGAGGACCCTTCATCTGTGTTCAGATTTGGAAATTAGGCTTCCAGCGAAATTGGCAAGTGTGTTCTCCACCGGCTTGTGAGAGAGAGCTGCTTTTATTGCTTGTATAGCTGTCAGCAAGGACATTAAGGTGCTCACAAGGAGAGGGTGGGGAGATATGCACAGCCTGGGAACCCAGTGGGATCCAAACACAGTTGACTGGTCAAGAGAAGACAGCAAAGAGGGGAGAGAAAAAATTCTGCCATTGGGCCAGGTACTCTGTTGCCCTCCCCTGTGCGTAGTCACTGGCTCAAGTGCAAAGTGGGGGTAAAATGCTACCAAGTGAGAATAGTGGCATTTTTTGCCTGCTTTGCACTCGTGCCAATGATAGACCCAGTGCATTGGCATGGAGTAGAGAATCAGGCCCATTCTTCATCATCTCTCTCTAATGCCAATGCTGGAAGTCAGAGCCGAGGCATCTGAGTTGGGCCAGTCTGTGATTTTTATCATCTTTCTCTCCCCCTGAATTCACAGTGTGATGTTTTAGCTGCTTTGGCTGTAAAATCGTATTGTGAATTTTTACACCTTGTCTTCGCTCTTTTCCCCAGTAGGCTTAACAAGAGGAAAGTCAGGGCACCGCTAAGCTGACAGCTAATAGTTCTGCCTTAGTCACTGGACATGTAAACAGGGTCAAGAGAATTGCTGCATGGCTAAGAGAGGCTGCTGCTGCTGCTTGGGGATTTCTAAGCATTGCGAACATTATAGGCTTTTTCCCCTCTATTTTCATACTTTGTGAATTGCCTGGGACTGGGAGGCGGGGTATGGGGAGACCACCTGGGCCAATTCTAAGCATATGAAGAAGCTGTTTAATTTACAAACCTATCTCCCAAGTTCCCAAAGGAGTGTTTATGGTGGACAGTCTCTCCTTTCTAATATCACATCACGTACCAAATGGCTTTTGAAACAGAAAAGCTGTTTGTTTTCACAAGTCTTGCTGAGCTGCTCAGTGTACTCCAAAGATCTAACAAAGGACTTACTTTTCATAGTTGGCATTTCTCTAGGGCCTTCCATCCAAGGATCCCAAAGCACTTCAAGCCTCATAACACTACTGTGAAACAGAGACACATTATTGCACCCATTTTACAACTGGTACAATTTGGATACAGATAAAAATTAATGGCTAGCCCATGCTCACATAGTTGGTGTGTAAAGGAGGCAGGAACAGAACTCTGATTTCCTGACTTCTACTTCTGTTCTTTCACTATAAGAACAGTGTAAGTGTTTAATTGCATGGGATTATTTTCCCCCCTCCTCACTGAATTATTTTTCTTCATATATTAGTGCCAATTAGAAATCCTCTATGGAAACCAATCTTATCTCGTTTACTTTCTGTACTGGTTTCCCATTGAACACAGAGCCAAGTTTGAACTCAGTTCTGTTATTGGTATCCCTCCACAGGAATAACTATGGCTACCTACCAGACAGTCCCTTCCTCCACAGTCATGACCTCACATGACAGCTAAGTTCCACCAGAACAATGACAGTTGTGTAGAAGACCGAGCTTTCACAGGAACTAGCCCAGGACTGTGGAACTCACTTCCACATGAGCTCACTATGTGTTTTCAGAGCTAATTGCAAAACTCATCTCTTCATCTTAGTTTTCATTCAATGATTTCTTCACACACAGTGCGATTCAATAATTCTTTATTGGCATGACAAGCTGTACAAGTGTTGCCAAAGTATAATAAAGAGATAGGCCCCACGGGTATCTGTTAGAGTTAGGCACATACAATACACTCTCTCTCTCTCTCTTACACACACACACACACACACACACACACTCTCTCTCTCTCTCTCTAACTAA